ATTTATCCTAGTAATGATAATAAGAAACTCTCATAATAAAAATAAATAATGACTAAAACTTTTATTAATATGGCTATTGTATTTTTATAATAAATCTTTTAGCAATTAAACTTTAAAATTATCAAAATAATTTATTTCTTAACAGGTCAAAACGGGTTACCTACATGTTACCCTTGTGTGTACCTGTTAAAAACCCGTTATTAACGGGTCATCCGATAATGACCCAATTAATTATCGTGTTGACCCGAAATCCGTTATTTTTGTGTTGTGTTACCGTCGTGTCAAAAACTGCTGGGTTTAATCATGATTATGAGATCACATTGTGGGATAATAAATGACGAAGGGAGAAAGGAGAAAGTAGCTAATTGACATTCCTTCAAAAAGAAGAAGAATTGGAGACATACATAACATATCAAAAGAGTTGCCACTTAGTATTACAGTATAATAGTATTCATTTTCACTTGTAAGTGAGATGTTTTAGATTAGATTCTTGTCAAAGAGGGATTTGAACCGTAATATTGCTAGTCCATTGTGAGGCTAAACTCACCTCCTTATCGTTTGTTCAAATATATATATATATATATATCAAAAGAGTTCAAAAATTGAATGTGGTCCATTATTCTAATAATATAGTGTTGAGTTTCTACTTATTCATCCTAAGCTTGAAATTCCTCATCTTCTAAATTGTTATAACACTCGATAATAATTGTTGAACAACAAAACAAATATAATATATTAAAAAAATAGAGTCCATACAAATTGGATCAAGCTACAAGACAAAACAAAAAAATGTAATCCAGCCCAAAAGGTAAAGATGGGCTTTGCATACACATCAATATCCATAAATAAAATTAAACAAAAAAAGAAAAAAAAATTATGTATTTCTTCCTACAAAAGGGGGAAGTAAAGTGCAAAACATGGGCTCCCCATTTTTCTACAACAAAAGGACATGGAAGACTGGACAGTTGATGAGGGTGGTTAAGAGAAAGTGGCAGAAGACATGGTCTCCATCTCCCCCATGTAAAAACTCTAGAGCCCTCCTAGGATGTCTATAAAAATAGGCAGCAGCTGCAGTAAGAAGTAGACACAAAAAAAAGGAAGAGATACTCTGTAGAAAATAAGAGAAACTTTGAGAGAAAATACCAAAAGCAACGAAATACTGCCAGAAAAGAGAACAAGGAGTTCAATCGTTCGTGCTTTCGAGTCAAGATCCAAACAAGAACATTCATCACCAGGTATGAAACAAGTTCTGTTAAATTATTTATTTCTCTTGTTTGATGTTGTGTTGCAAACAAAAGGGGTAAAAGAAAAAAAAAGGCATAATCAACTACCTAGAGTTAGCAACCTCCAGTTCATATAAGAAAATTGCCAACAAGCCACCAGAAAAGGTTTTTATGTGAAGAGAGTTTCTTAAATGGTAGCCTGACTACTCCTTGACCAGTAGTGGTCTGTGAGTTAGAAGATAAAGGCAAATGATTCCAAATATTCTAGGACCTACTCATCAAGCATCTTCTCGACACAACATGTGTCTATGTAGATGCTGAGGTGCCGAAAGGTGATCTTTACAGGGACAGTCAAAATCTACTCGTCAAGCATTTTCTCAACATAGCATGTCTTTATGTAGACACAGAAGTGCCAGAAAGTAATCTGTACAGGACAGTCAGAACCTACTCATCAAGCATTTTCTTGGCACAACATGTCTCTATGTAGACACGGACGTGCCATCAAATGATCTTTACGGGGACGGTCAAAATCTGCTAGTCAAGAAATGTTCTACACCATGAAGGTTTTGAAGACATCAACGCTTAAAAGAAAAATAAAAGGATATGGACTCTCTAGTCTCCACCAACAGCAACCATGTTGTGAGCTTTCTGCCTAGCAAGTCTGTTGCTACCATGAATTTCTAAGTGCTCTAGACCAATCGTCAAGGTTCAAAATGAAGCTCCACGGCCAAATGCTCTCTACTCCCTGCCGCTGCCATCAACCTTATGAATTTCTTATGGGCGGTCTAAATCACTTCGTGAAGTTCTAATCAAATCTAAGTGATCCATGCTCGCAGCCCATGTCAAGAAAGAAATGAGCAGTTGGTGTCACGACAAGCAATGGATTTGGATAAAGAAAGAACAAGTTTCGTTCGACATCTACAAAAGGTCAAAACTCCAAGTCTGTATGTCAGATGGAAAAGAACAAGTCTCTGCACAAAAGTCATGTCCTTTTCCAAAAAGAAGAAAGTCAAAAGATGCTTTTAAACATGGCAAACTTTATATTAACATCCAAAGGTATGGTAGACAAATCAAAGCTACAAGAAGATTTATGGGTAGAGCATCACTTTGCACAAGTGTCGATGAGAAAGAATAGCAAGTCTGATCAAATTACAATGAGCATAGCTATCATAAGGCCACTCACGGGGCATTCAAATAGAAAAGGCATAATGCCTATATATTCTCTGATTAAGTATTAAAGGCAGCACATGGATAGGAGCCCAAAAAAGGTGTCCAATGCCTACTGTCAAGACCAGTCACGTGACTCTCTATGTGGAAATGGAGATGCCGAAAAGTGATAATTAGACATTAATGCATCAAAACTCATTCAAAATACGGTAGACATGAACAGTGCATTACTACAAATTTCAAAATGCAGTTCTCACCTTTGAAGCCATGAATCAACACTTGTTTTCAACAAATTTAATACTGCAAAATAGTTTGTCCAACAACCATGTCAAAAAACAAACCAAACTGGTACTTAAAGCTACTCATGGTAAATGAAAAGTTAAATAAATTTAGTCTACGAAAGCTACCAACATCAAATTGGGTTTATCATCTACAAGTATACAAAAAAAAGGGTTTTTACAACCCAATGAAGCTCATTACCTAAAGGTCACAACAACGACCAAATTGAAGAGATTTTGTTGCTGGTGACGCCTGCACAAAAAAATTAAACCAATAAATTAGTTGCAGTTTAGAGCTTCACTCCACTCCAAATCAAATCCAGAACACAAAGAAAATTAAATTGGGGTCACTTGCTTGTTACTTTCTCCTCCTTTTCGTTTTGAATTTTTTATCCACAAAAAAAAAGCACAAGCAAGGTGGTAAGAGCAAGACAACAATGCAGCAGAAAAACAAAAAAGCTCGTGACCTGCACAAAAAAGGCCTTTACGATTTGAGAACGAAATGATGGTAAATTGAAGTAACTTGAAAAAGAGTCTGAGCTCCAACAAACCTTACCCATCCTCACTTGGAAATCGACGATTGCCCAATCCAAATGGAAATTTGAAATACAACGAAATCCACGAGAGCCCAAGTATATCGGAATTGCTTTTTGCTTCTGGAGGAAGAACAATGAGCATTGGAGCCAAAAAAAGAAAAAGAAAAAAAAAAGGGATCTCTGAAGCATTGCACAGGGGGATGCTAAATGAAGTCTGTACCTCACGTGGGATTCTAAGTCCCACTTTAAGCCTTGGGCTAATAAAAGGAAAAAGACAAATCAATGTCCTATTTCGCAAATCCTTTAGGTGATATTATCGAAGGTCATATATGGGTTTTAAATAAATCCAATTGGCATCTTATTTTGCCAAGTCTAAATACAAGTCTACAAATCCAAATCAAATTTGATTCATAAGTCAAACTTGTGGAGTTTCAAATACGCTGAAGGCTGCAGCAAGGGAGGAAAATAAAAGGTCCTCTAAAACATGGAATGCAATTCACATGGACCTTATAAGCATGGGCACTGTTGATTGAAGATGGTGCAAGTAAACATGGAGGCACATCATGTGTGAGGACGATGCCGATATTGAATCCGTGGAGGACATAAATCACTTCAAATACCGTGGACACAAGCAACCTCAAAGCACGAAGCTCAATGGACTTACATACCATGTCCAACAATTCGTGAAACTCACTCCACATTAAATCAATGGGTCAAATTCCCGTTAAAACTACAAAAAAGGCTTTTATCACATCGAAAGTAAATAAAAATTGTAAATGTGTTCTTCTTTTCGGCACATGAGGTCCTATTTGGACTTGAAAGAGTTCAAGTTGTCCCAAGTCCACAAAAAAGGAAAAAGCTTGATCTCAAACTTCCCAAATTAATTGGGAAACTCACTCACATGGCAACCTAAGGAAAGATTGGCCTACCTTTTTTCCTGCTACTTTGACCAAGTAATTACAAATTCTACAAAAAGTAAAAGAGAAGTCCGCAAAGCACAGTTCCTAGATTTCCAATTAATGGATGCTGCTCACGCAACAAAGTTCCTAATTTTATAGGGAATGTTGCTCCATGTGAGAATGAAGTAAAACAACAATTTATTCATGGGAACTTTGTACTTTTATGGACTCCGTGAATAAAAATAGGGTCGGACAACACAAAGTCGCTCCAAATTCAAATAGCACGAAGCCAAAGAAAAGTCTCAAATGGCACGAAGCTACGTCCAGTTCCAATGGCTCAAAGTCTTTGCCCGCACGAGCTAAAACTACACAAGACATCAAAAGAAGTGACTCAAAGTCCTCGCCTACAAGAGCCTAAACTGCAAAAGGCATCAAATGTTCCTTACCTACACAAGCTGAAACTACACAAGGAATCAAACCCTAACAAATACATAAGGAACTACGAATGACTTGATCGCTCAACGAGAGTATGTAGGCAATCTAGGGCTCGACCTAGGTGCAATCGCAAAATCAAATAAACACTCAAATCTCCAAGTTACGATTTATTCATACTGGAATCAAAGGGTTTTTCCTTTTTAACAAAAAATTGTAATTAATAGACGCATAGTTTAGAATGGATCGAACTCAAATTAATAAAACCCTCTTTGGAAAAATGAATGACGGTGAAATAGTATCAAGTGAATTATTTATTTACTTATTACGTACAAATTTTGCTCAACAATAATAAATTAAAAAATAAAAAGTCCAAAGTCGCCCAATTGAAAGGAAGACAACCTCTCCGACGGATATTTATAAGTTAAAAGACTGTCAATGTTAGCATTAAAACACAAAGTGGCAGGTGTCTCTTGTGCGCTGCATCTCGGAAACCCAAGGCGTCAGCTCAAATAACTGCACCGATCAAAAGCCAAAAGAAGAAGACGACTAAGAGGAGGAGGAGGAGGAGGAAGGAAACATAAGCAACTAATTTATAACACGGAAATGAGCTCGCGAGCTGAGGAGGAGGAGGAGGAGGAGGAGCGTCAGGGAGAACAAGCACGACACCGTTTTTACTACAGCCCCTGCTCTCTGTTTGAGCACGCCATCAAGGCTTTCCTCAAGTGCCTAGGACTGCATGACAATCATCATGATTACCACTCTGGCAGATCCGCCGTCACTGATGATCAAAACCACCACCACCCTCACCCTCATCCTCACACCGAAAGAGAAATGAAATTCACTGTACACACACTCTCTCCCCAAATCTTCTTAATACTATCTTATTATTATTGTAGTTAATTAAATTAATTTAATGCAGGAAGAGGCGGTTATAGTGATGGCTTCTGCAAGGTCAGCAACAAGAGTACCAACAAGCATAGCAAGAGCACGGCCGAAGAATCATAATAAACCACCTTTAAGCTCCGGTAAAGGTGGTCAGATTAATTAACTGTTATTTTTTCACGATCTACTTAATTAGTAGATAGTTAGTTGTCTTGTCCACCTTAAAATTATTATAACATATGCATGCATGGACTAGCTGCTGCTTCTTTCTTTCTTCTTCTTCTGTGATTTCTCTGCGCGCGTTTGTTTAACTTTAATTAATCAACATCTCTTTCCAATTAAGTATATCTGCTACAACTCATCATCATGATCAAGGCCTGGATCTGTTAATATTGTCGATCGAAGTTCTCCTGGAATATCATCCAAAAAATCAAGAGATCATAAAATAGCAATACTGGAGATTTAAAACTCGTTTAGATGTCCTTTTAAAATAACTGAAATTAGAGAAAATATTTTTGGGTTCCAAAAACATTTTAAGTGCTTTCTACAAGAAGCATCAGTTATGTGCTTCTTTCATGAAGCACTTTAAGTGCTTTTCCAAGATTTATTAACATTTTTACTATGAATTGTTTCCAAAAATATTTTCACCAAAAGTGTTTTCAGTCATTTTAAAATCACATCCAAACGAGCCCTTATAAGTTGTATTTGGAGAGATTTTTTCAATATGATCGGTATACGAGGTGGTACATTACGTGTCACTATACAAATGATGAAATATGTGTATTAAAAAGTTAATAACTTAAAAAATAAAATTTCTCACAACTTATATAAAAACACATGGTGTACCACTTGTGTTCTGGTTACAATGAAAAAAATTTCATTGTATTTGATAAGGCCTAGTTGGATAAATGGTTCTCGTAGTGATAGAGTATTTGGAAGATAGACCTTGTGGTAAAAATATTTGGATTTCAACCCTTATGGTGAAGTGCGTTAAGAATTAAGCCCAAAATCAAAATTTCGTTAGTTATTCCATTACTGGGGAAGGTGAGGGTGCAGATCCCACTCGTGATGTTCCAGTTCAAAACGAAGCTGACAGTAACTGCTTAGTTGTTGCTGCAACCAGTGAAATCGATGATAAGCTGTCTGACAATAATCCTAAAGTCCCACCGGGATTTTCTTTTTCTGGCATTCATCAGGAAAACAATACTGCTGAGCTACAACTACCTCTACCTCATGTAAAATGAGCCATGGACGAATGGAAGGAAAGTTCAAACAAGTTGCAAGATAGGCTGGTCCTGATGAAAAACAGATTTGCACCTTGCATATCTACAGACATGGAGCACAAGCAGGCATGTGATGGTAGCGAGGAGGACCCCGATGTGCCTCCTGGTTTTGGTTGATGAGTTTTCATGCATTTCAGTTTTCACCGTTACTCTGTAACCATCAATTTCAGAGACAATGGAGTCAAGGATCAATCTATGGTAACTGCTTAATGTATGTTATATTGAGTTCCTACAATGGGAAAGTTCCTCTGTAATTCCCTTAATAGAATGCGTTACTGTTAACATTATGTTGCTTGTGGGCGTCTAGATCCTGGGTATTTGGTGTATCTTAGCTTCCTTAGATGTAGACTTGATGACCCGACGTGTGAATAAAACCGAAAATTTAGTTTTTGGGCTTCAATCCTAACAGATTTCACCATGAGGGCTTAAATCTTAATTATTTTACCACGGGGCTACTTTCCAACTACCATGTTACCACAAGGATCATTTATCCAATTAGGTCTATTTGATAATTAAGAGAAGATTTATAAGGTTTTCTTGATGAATAATTGAAAGGAATACCTTGTTCGAGTCTGCATTGAATTACAACAATTCAAATTATCGTAAAAAAACCATGCTTGTAATTTGTAAAAGATGATTTTTGAATGAGGTCCTCCAACAGTGTGATCCCTTTGGTGAATAGGAAAGGGGATCCCTGTTATGGAACATAATATATACTGAATGTAACTATATGAAAGTTATTCTTAATGAAATTGTGTAGATACAAAAAAGCTCAGGTGGAGTATGTCAATTCTAAAATGTAGACGGAAGAAAAGAGACACCTAGTCTCTAATAGTTAGTGCATCTATGTATATAGTTCTCTCTTTAATGCAAAAAGTTTCATGTCAAGAAGGTGTAAACATGTTTGAGAAGCTAGAAACACATTGGCTTCAACAAGAAGGTATTGATGTGTTCACTAAACACCATGTTGACGTGTTATTACATCTACAAGCTCAAATAAATGGCATCTATGATGAAAAAATCATTGGCCCATACAACTTTAGAGAAAAAAATTATTTTATTTTAAATAACAAAACATTGCATACATGTAGAATTATTGACAAGTATTACTATGTGGAGTGGTGAAAAGTTTCTTGAGAATTATTGACAATTTTTATTCGTAACATTGCATAAGAGTGCTATATGATCAACATGTGGTCACAAAACACTCAATACGAGGACGCTAGTTTTCCCACACCAAGAATAGTGAAGTGATCCCCTTAAGAAGATACTCGTATATACATACATATACACGTACAAAAATGATCTATGAAGTGGACTTGAAGAATTGGCAGTTCGGATCGTGGTATAGACGTGGGCTGCCATGAGGAAATCAAAAGTAAATTTAAAAAATGAGCATTCCAAGAGCAAAAACAGGGTCATGGTCATGGAAACCAGCAACTGTTGAGTGGATAATATGGGCGGTCGATGCCTTTGATTAGTTTTGTCTTGCTCTCTTGAAAAGTTTGCTAGCCAGAATCAGAATCGAATCGAATCGAATCTCAAGTTACACTTTCTTTCCCAATATCCAAATCACGAACGTCTGCAGTGAACGATACCGCCTTATTTCTTGAACCAAAAAATCCCTCATTGACGTACGTCCAGGAGAGTGCCATTACTTGTTGTCTGCAGATCATCTAGTGCAATGCAACCTCCACATTAACCAAGATATTCTTAGATATCCTGCTTTGTGTACCTCCTTGCGTGTAGCCGGCGACACGAAACAGAGATAAAGGTTACAAGACAAGTTCTTTCTGAGTAGACAACATCCTATTGAAAGGGTGTGGTTTTTCACAGCCTTATTAAAGTTTGCATTGTCACACTCGGCATCAAACCCGGTGAGGGTGAGGGAGACATGGCACAAAACCGAACGCAGTGGCGTTCTAGGATTCATATAGCTGACCGTACTTAGTGAGATAAGATTTTGTTATTGCTGTCGCTACTGCTACTACATAAAATCTAACTCATGTGACAGCCCACCACCAAGTATCAATATTCTTTCTCCCTTATAAGTTGAATGCAAGCAAGGCACTAGAGTATTCACATAACCGCAACATACGTTTTTGTTCATGTCTTTTTTGTTTTTTGGTCAAAAAGTTCATGTCTTATGATTCCCAGATTATTCATTCTCTTTAGTAATTTGGTATGTTATGTTTATCAAAATCTGACAACCCAACCGATGCACATTATATGCACATCATGCGTGTCATGCACATGATATGTACAATTTCTTCACAATTTTTTAATTAATTATCTTAATACAGGGCTTTTAAATTGGAGTAACTAAAGTTTAGATATTTTGTTATGTTATTTTAACAATAACGGAAAGCATACAGTCAGTGTTTGATCGTGCATTTGTGGAGTGAGTATTGTCAATGGTGTGGTTTTAATAGGTGAACTAATGCATGAGTGAGGGGCAAAATGGATAGGAGTGGGACTATGTGCTGTGAGCCTAGGGACTCTCTTAAACACTTGCCGCCAAAATGACTCCATAAGACATAGTGATAAAACAAGGTAGATATAGGGTTTTGCGATAAGACAAGGCATATATGGGCTCTTAATTATTTGATTTGCACACTTGCATGGTAATGATGACACCTTGGGTGTTGTCCATTACTACCATAAATTGATAGTTTTTTGCAATTATGACTATTTTCTTAGGGTCCTTGATGGTTTTTTTGCAAAAATTAAAAATAGAAAGGTCATATAATTAGGAAGAAGTACATGAGAAAAGTAAAATAAAAGAAAAGGCTGTATTTGAATTTAAACGCTACTATTACAAGAAAATTAAACGAAAATAAAAAAAAATTAGTCTACCTATCTGTACCACATAATTTAGCACAAAATATATTTACTTCCTAATGCCATTTGCAAGAATTACAATTACCAAACTTTTCAGGGTCAAAGAATTCTCAATGCGATCGGACTGTGAAAGAACCCTGTAGACTTCCACAATTGCTGCATGCTTTCATGGCAGCATTGTCATCGTAAAATTTTAGAATTTAAGTTACTACTTCCTATCCACACAAAGACCCAACAAACACCGTTGAACCATTTCTCTGCATTCCATTATGCTAAACAGTCCTGATTTGTGACGGTTGAGATAATAGAAAAGCTTGAGGAATTATGCTTCGAATCCTCATGTAGCACACCAAGATGATAGTGTAGACGTCAGTATTCTAAAAATCGCTCTAGACGGCACCTAGGCGCTGAGCTGTGTAGGCTCGATGTAATTTGGGGCCAATCGGTTACAGAAATTAGGAGGAAGCTAGGCGGCCATCTAGGAGCTCCCTAGGCAGTCTAGGCACTCTAAGCGGTGCTGGGCGACATGTCTAGGCAGATTGAATCTCATTTTCCTCCGCTACTGGTTCTGCAACTTTCGTTTCAAACTCTCTTCTTCAGCTTTATACACAATTCTTGTCATCGTCTTCTGCATTGCTCTAAATAATGCTATCTGGTTTAAGCAGACTTGCATATGCAACTCAAGCTCTCGCGAAGCCAGACTCAAAGAATAACGAAATTTATAAAGGAAATAGGAGGAAGACAAAACAGAAAAATAACCAAATAGGAGAGAAGATGTGAGAGATGAGGAAGAGGAAACAGAATAAAAAAACCCAAAATAAAGGGCTTTCCGTTTTCCAAATTGTCAAAAAGGTGTTGTAATGTGCACCAGTTTATATTTACTGCTATTGCCCACAATTAACCTTATTAGATCCAATCCCATCATTAAATATTATAATTGATTTTTTTTAAATATTTTTGGCACTATTAAATCTTTGACATGGGATTGAGACCTTGGATAATGTGAGAGAGGTAGAGTAAATCTTTTGATCTGGGTTCCACCGATTGGAGTGATGTGGGAGAGGTGGAAGGCTCATGGGTTTTTTTCTTTCTTTTTTATTTTATTTTTTATGTTGTATTATTTTTTTTGAACACCAAACCATATTGTATACTAAAAATCTTATGTTACAAAATTACATATACATATATATTATTCTTTTAAAAAAAACATATCTCAATATTTAGTTATATATTTATGTTAAATTTACTAAATCCGCCTAGTTCGCCTAGGCATCCGCCTAAGTCCCGCCTAACTGCCTAGACGTTAGGCCCCAGTCCGCCGCCCGACTAGCGCCTAGCATTTTTTAGAACCATGGTAGACGTACGTTACTACTTCATGACCCTTTGAGATTGTCATCTTCAGAGCCTCAATTCTGGCTTCTTCCTTATTATCTTGGAAGAAGTATGTCATCCCTAGCATGTACAGGGCATTGGAATTGCCGCAGTTCGTGCAGCGTTTCAAGAACTTGGAGACATCTTCATTATTGCTCTATGAACTAAGCAGGTTGAAGCCTTCAAATTCCCTAATGTTGATGTGCTCGAATATGTGATCCTCTTTGTCAATTTGATTAAACTTCTTACACACCATTTTTGCTGAAAACAGGTCTTTAAAAGATCAGGAAGTAACCTTCGTCAGTTTTTGGACAAGAAGTTCGTCCATAAGAGATTGTATAGTTGAAGAGGTGGTTCTGGCTTTCTTCATCTTTTTGAACTTGTGGTTTTGAATAAAACACAAACCCTTAAGAAGACAACTTATATAGATGGTTTATATCTTGGACAAGAAGGGGAAGAGATATGACAGTGAGTGAGAACAATTATACGTTGGAATCGAATGGTTCTAATAAGAAAGGGATTTGGTGAATATATAGAGATGAAATACCCTTTGAATACAGCTGTTTAGTTACAACTTTTCTCATTGAATACAATTGTTCAGTTATATCCAACATTCATATCCTTTAGAATGAATGAATTAATTAATTAGTTAATCTATTTCACTACAATCATATGTATATTACTGCGCCAATGTTATGGTGTACTTTCACACATGATTACATATATTGTAAAAATCATGTTATCATAATCATATTCCAACACAAATACATGAATTATAAGGTCACTAATTCTAGAATAATGGCCAATTGTTAGTTATATATACAAATCCATGTACAAATACATGATATGTACACACTATATGCACATGGTATGTAAAAAACTCTTTGGCCAAGGAGCTGTTTATGGGATTTCTAAGACGCATTAGCATGGTAAATTTTAATCAAACATGAGAGATGGAGTTTTAAAGTATATTTGAAAAACTAGTATTGAGTTGATTATATCATAAGAACAAAACTTGTTTGCGAGTTTTAATAAAAAAAAAACTACCTCATTAAATTCGAATAAAAATAAGGTCATGATTCAAACT